CGCCCCGGGGCAATCACCCTGGTGGGGCTGGCGGAGATGGAGGGTCTGGTCGCAGGGAGCTCTGTGTTCACACACAAACAGGCGTGAGATGGGAAGACACAAACCCCTCCCATGTGTCTGTAACCTGCCCTTAGTGCCCAGCCCCAGGGACAGTGCCAGGGCTAAGAGACACCTCACTACATCCACAGCTGGGGTCTCAAACTCAAATGACCACGAGGGCCACATGAGGACTAGTACATTGGCCGCATTACTGACACCTCCCCCCCGCGTCTCGCGGCCCCGCCCTGACTCCACTCCTTCCATGAGGCCCTGCCCCACCTCTTCCCACCCCTTCCCTGCCCTCATTCCAACCCCTTCTCCAAAATCCCCACCCCAACTCTGCGCCCTCCCTGCCCCCAGGGGGAGCAGGAGGGGTGTGGGGTGTGGTGGGGGCTCAGGGCAAGGAGTTGGGGTGTGGGGTGCAGCACGGTGTTCAGGTCAGGGGGTCAGGGTGCAGGGTGCGGCAGGGGGCTCAGAGCAGGGGGTCGGGTGCAGGAGGGGTGCAGAGTACGGCAGGGGGTCGGGGTGCAGGAGGGATGCAGCAGGGGATTCAGGGCAGGGGGTCGGAGTGCAGGAGGGGTGCGGGGTATGGCAGGGGCTCAGGATGCAGGAGGGGTGCGGCAGGAGGTTCAGGGCAGGGGGTTGGGGTGCAGGAGGGGTGTGGGGTACGACAGGGGCTGGGGTGCAGGCGGGGTGTGGCACGGGATTCAGGGCAGGGGGTCGGGTGCGGGGTGCGGCAGGGGGCTCAGGACAAGGGGTTTGGTTGCAAGAGGGGTTAGGGGGTTGGGTCTGGCCCAGCGCGCACAAGGGGCAGGGCAGGCTCCCTGCCTGCCTGCCCTGCCTTACCCCTGCACTGCCCTGGGAAGTGGCCAGAACCTGGGGAAGGAGGGACACAAAGGTCTGTGTGTTGCTGTTGCTTCAGGCACCACCCCCAGCAGCTCCCATTGGCCGGGAATGGGGAACTGTGGCCAATGGGGCTGCTGGGGGCGCTGCCTGAAGCAAGAGCAACACACAGACCCCTGTGCCCCCCCTTCCCCACGTTCAGGCCGCTTCCCGGAGCAGCGCGGGGGCAGGGCAGGCAGGCAGGCAGGGAGCCTGCCCTGCCCTGCCCTGCCCCCGGTGCATGTTGGGCCAGAGCCATCTAGGTAAATGCTAGGGGAGGGCGGGGGGGCCATGAGGAGCTCACGGGCCACAGAAAATAACCCCATGGGCTGCGTGTTTGAGACCTCTGATCTACAGGGAACCTGTGGGCCGGGTTCTGATCTCAGTCCTTGGGATCAATCCGGAGTCACCCCTGACTGTACTGGGGGCAGGGCTGGGTTCTGATCTCAGCCCACCAGGAGGTGACCATATTTCCCTATGCTGAATACGGGACACCTGGTAAAATTACTCGTATTCAAGCGAGTTCAACGGCAATCAATCAGAGCTACGCAGTACAAACCTTCACATTCACATCAAGTTGACTGAGCCCCTGTTAAAAAGAAATTCTGCGTAGATGGATTCTTTGTATTTACTTTCTTACCTGTGAGGCTTTAGGGTTCACATGGGGAGGGGTGACACACACACTGCTAACCCCCCCCCACGGGGAGAGGTTACACACACACATACACACTCTCCCGTATCCCTCTCTCACACGGGGGGGGGGTATCTGACCGAACTGAACCTCTCTGCCCAGCTTTCTCCATCCTCCATGCCTGGCTGGGCCCCCGGGGATGGACCTGCCTCTCCTGGTACCTGGTGCCATGTCTTCCTGAGGCAACACGTGGCGGGGGGTGGACACAGGGTCACATGTCCCCCCTCCCCAGATTTCTGCCAGGGTTCACATCAGAATGATGCCAGCAGCAGCCTTTAGACACTGTGTGGGAGGGAAGGGACGGGAGCTGCTTCCGGCCACCGGGGAGGTGTGGGAGTGGCGGGGGGAAAGGGATGACCTGGCCCGTGTCTTTGCAGAGCTCATCTCTCCCCCAGGGATGGAAGCAGCTTGTCCCTTCCTGCCCGCACAGTGTGGAAAGGCAGCGAACACCCCCAGGCTGCTGCTGGCCACCCACATAACCCAGCCGCCTCCTGTCCCCCGGCTACAGTGCGGGCAGGAAGGGGTTAAGCCCTAAGGCTGCATTGTGCCCCAGGGCCCAGGGAACCTGACTGCAGGGGCCTCAGTGACCCCGGCCAGAGAGGGGGCTCAGCGGGGGAGGGTGCCCAGGGGACGGAGCAGCCCCGCGCTCCCTGGGGGCAGGACCCAGGGCGAGGGGTTGGGGGGTGAAGAGGGTGCTAAGCCCCTGTCCTGGGGCTGCTGTGAAGCCTGCAGGTTCGGGGTGGAAATCGCTCCCCCCCACACTCCAGAGCTTAGCTGAGGGGTGGAGAGGCTCCCCCATGCCAGCGCTGTGCGGGGCTTTGGCACACCCAGGGTTCGGCTCCTCCTGGCCAGTGCCCCAGGCCGGAGGGTCTTGGGCTTTTCCGGGGCGCCGGCCCAGCCAAAGGCAGTGAGGGGGAGGAAGGGAGGAGCCTGCCGGCCAGGCGATGGGTGAGCTGAGCACTCCGACCAGGGGCTGGGTCTCCCCACAGCGTTGGGTTGGGCTGCGCCCCACCGGGGGGACATGGAGGAGGAGCTGGGCTGGGGGGGTGAGGTGGCAAAGCAGGGAGAGGACAGCGAGAGGGGGAGACATAAAGGGCCGATGGGTGGGCAGCAGAGGCAACACGTAACCGGCCGCTGCCTGGCACCTGCCCACATACACTAGCCACCGTAGTTCGCACCAGCCAGAAATGGGATGGGGGGTAGGGCCCTGCTGACCAAAAGCCGGCACAGCGGGGGCTGCGCTGATGGACCAGCAGGGGAGCGACTGGCCCCACACGCTGCATCTTCGCCCTTATACCAGCCTTGCACATCCTCCCCCATCGTCGGCCAGCCACTGGACCCCGCCACTCACCCTTGGTGGGCACGCGGCTGGTGAGCAGGGATCTGGCCAGTATTGATGGGGGCGGGAAACAGAAAATATGGGACAATTTGCCTGTTTTTAAGAAAAAGTTGGGACACCTGCAGGAGGGTTAAATACGGGACTGTCCCATTAAAAATGGGAGGTCTGGTCACCCCCCTTCCCCACAGATACTCACGTCCGGAAAGCCCTCTTTGCCCAGCCAGCCAGCAGCCTGGAAAGGAGATGGCTTGTTAGGGACCAGATCCTTCACACTGGTCTCAGACCTTCCCCCGCATGGACACACACCCTGGTCTCAGATCCCACCCCATGGGCACACGCCCTGGTCTCGGATCCCACCCCATGGACACACACCGTGACCCTGGCTGTCTCTGATACTCACCGAGGAAGAGGACAGTGAGAGCAGATGCCATGATGGGGGCAGCGAGGGGCCCCTCAGCGCTGCCACCAACACTCCCGTGCCCAGGTCTACCAAACCCCAAATAAGGAACTCAGCTGGTGGCTGCAGCTACAGGAAGCCAACATGGCTCATATCTTCCTGTGTACTTCACACCTCGTCTCTAATCTGCAGGCAAAATCTAGTGTGGTCAAAGCAAGCAGAGGGCTTTGCAAAACCCAAGCAACCCAGGGACCTTCAGCCTGGCCAAGCATCATGCAGCTCACAGCTTGTCTGTGTCTCTGTGGAGAGGGGGGACAGGTCACCCTCAATGTACCCTGCAGCCCTGAGGAAGGTGCATCAGACTGAGAGCCAGGCAACCATGGGGTCTGGTCTTCA